TTTTTTGTCTATGTGTTGAATATCTCATCAGTTGGCCAGCTGTCCAATAAAAAAATGTGATCAACATTATATGCTGAGCTAACCTATCAAACCGACTGTTCAAATTCTTCGCAGTTCAAAACCATGCTTATTCAAAAATAATCCATTAAATTGAATTGGGCATTTGATGAATATGATTTAAAGCGATACTCAATGTGAACTTCCTTTGATGAGAATGAACCAGATTGATATAGATATTGCTGTAAATTGTAAGACTGGAAGAAGTAAGGAATTATTTAACCTATATTTTAATGACTCAAGTTACTTTTAAATACTGTTGAGCACTTCTTTAGGTAATCAATTTAGTTTATCAAGGCTTATGCACGTAACATTTATCATAACCCAACTGGGGTTTTCTGTGTCAATCTCAAACGCCTCCATAAGAAGAATGTAGATAAGAGAAAATAGAACTAGAACAAAACTGGAAGGTAATGTGATCAGCAATGTGTAGTCACTATAATAACTTGTCAGCTTCAATACAATAATAAAGCCTACAGCAAGGACTCGAAGCTGAACATAAATTCTGTTTGTGTGTTCTTTCCGGGTTAGTGATGGTATATATATTTATATATCAAATCGATATGAATTATAGCAACTATTATTTCATACAATTTATATATACTAGTTACTAGTGAAATCAACAGGTGTTTTAGTCCCGATTTTCTCATTAAAATTTCTTATCAGTTTCTACTCTGTCCGAGTTGACAGTCTTAAATTGCCACTTGTTTTGAGTGGTACTGGCTGTTTTCTCTCTAATAAATTTCATCACTTACCAGGCAGTTTTACCTAAGGTGAGATTTAACAAATTTGTTATGGTTATTTGTTATTTATGAGGACGTTTTGTTGTATCTAAGTGTCGTGTTATGGCAAATATGTGGTTATGCCTTATGCCGATCATCCTTGACATCTCAAATTGCAAATGGTCCTACTATGTCAAAATAACTAAGAACAAAAATCTTTATCTATGGAGGTAGTATCGGGTGTTCTTGAAGGAGTAATCATATCATGTCTCACATGATTGATATAGTAGACTTATATACAATCAAAGACGCAGGCGTTGGAGCTCAGGTTAAATTGAGTGATAGCACTTGAATGCATTATTCTCATAAGTGGAAATTTGATATTCTGGATCGATATGAAAGATTGTTGGATGTTTTCTAAAGCAATTGAAAATTGTAAAAAGTAATTGACACTATTGCATTTTAGCGTAAAAATCAATTTAGAATTCTATAAAACATGTTAATAGCGATTGACATTTCAGCTGTTTGAAAGAGCAATACATATTGTAATGTCACTTCTAACTTGCAGTTTTTTTTCTAATTATATACGATATAGAAAATTATAGAATTGATCATTTAAATTGTCTGTTTGCTGACGGTGGAAATTACTTTAGTAACACAGACAACATCTGCTTATATTTCGAATAGGTTACAATATAGATGACATTGCCAAGTTTGCAAGTTCTTAGAAAACATGGTTAACATTGTATTGTGGTTGTAAGCTGTTGGTAATCATAAACACCATCATTCTGTGGTAACTAGATTGGCTCAAATTCTTGACGTTTCTTGAATGATGAATGTCACGAAATTTGCTCCTTTGTACAAATGTATTGGCCTATTTACGATTGTTTTATGTCTTAGATATATTCTATGAATGTTCGACATTGAGCTTAGAGTAAATCCCATGAGATATTTTACATGGGGACTAAGAGTTTTTATGTTTTATGAATACTCGTGATTTATTATTAGCAAGAAGCTTGTTAGAATGACAGAATCGTGAAGAGATTAGAAATATTAGATAAACATAGAAACCATGTTGATTATATTACCAACTAGTCGTATTTACGAATTTCAGCTTCAGTTTCAAATTTAGTTATGTCAAAATAACAAAAACACTCGTGTGAAACTTTTTGACGAACGATTTCCTTGATTTGTTTTAATTTACTTCAATTTGCGTCTGATGTCAAATGTGTTTATTTCTCAAATTGTGTCTTAAAACACATTTTATTGAATAAATTTAATACAGTAACTTTTATAATGTCCTGCAATTGGAACTGAGTCTACATCATTAAATGAAACGCAATGTAACCGGATATAAATGATGTCAACAGATATATATTCCGTTCAACCGGATTCATTGTAGGTATTGAAATAATGGAAATAATGAAAACAAAAGGCACGGAATTAAATCATATGCTCAACTAGAGTAGATCAGTAAACAAGTTCATAAAAAACACATCAGACTTGAACAATATCTTTTTTGATTTTCTATTGGAAGATTTACAACTTCCAAATAATCCAAGACATTTCTCAACTTATTACATTCCTTTCGTTTCTTTTTTCAATGACAATCCACTTGTAAACATGTGTATAAAATGAAATTAAAACACCATAATTGTTGTTGATAGTAGAGGACAGTTAACTTAATTCATATGTTACTTCTGGTTTAAATTAATATACTATTTTATACATGTTTCTGCTAGACTGGAATTTCTCTTTATCAAATCCAGTTTTAAGGCAGCCCAGGTCAATCTAACCAAAAGACACAATTTCAGTAATTTTGGAAATGCAGGTAGAGAACTTTGTTCTATGTAGCAAAGTGGTAAGAAGATGACATTTTCACAACTGACCGGTTTTCCTTATTGATGTTTTTTTTTGGTTATCTTGATCCAGATGTTGGTCATGGCGTTGGTGATCGTTATTTTTCATTAAGGTTACATACATTTACCAGAAAGAGTTATTTCAAGAAATTTACGTTTTTGTGGAACGGATGTTTCTTGACAGACTTTTGTTACCGAAACATCACAATTCGGTGGCAGAAGTTTGAAACCGGATGTTCATTTTTTCGCTGGCATTGATTTGTTCAATTCAACCGGATGTTTTGATTCTGCTATCAGAACTTTGTAATTGAAAGAAATAAATGACGAGCTGTCCATCACATTTTGGTGGCAGAAGATCGAAACCGGATGTTTATATTTTCGCTGGCATTTATTTGTCCATTGCAACCGGATGTTTTGATTTTGTCAGAACTTTGTAATCGAAAGAAATAAATGAACAAGTTGTCCAATAGTTTCACAGAAACAAGTACCAAGGCCAATTAATATGAATGATTTACTCATGAACAATGTTTCTACAGTTAAAGTCAAGCCGAGTTCTGACAGATATACCAATGTCTATACAATATATGGCTAGTCGTGAGAAATATAAGACATCAATAGTTTTTGTTAGCAGTAAAATGACAGAATGATTATAATTCTCACTGCCTTTCAATTTGCCGCTAGAAATATGTAAAATACCAGGAGTAATATTAATGACAAACATGATGGAAAGATGTCTATATTGGAAATACTAGACTTTCTTCACGGATCATTTATTCGAACACTAATCGAATACCTCTAAGTTTTTTCTCTACTTCGTTTGACTATGTTAACTGATCCCATTGAACATTATTATCAATATCTTACCTCGGCTACTGATACCGGTTAATACTGCTTTTTGGGGGCACTGTAGGTTGTTTGACCAAGGTATGCCAGGCGATTGCTTTGACACTTTTGATTTTTGCATATTTCTGGCCAATTGGCTTAGTTTCCTTGGAAATTGGTATTAACTTAGCACATAAATTCAAATGTTTCCCTATTTCAGCAAGTTCTTTTCCTTATGTTTGATCATTGGTTATAAATGATAAGGTTATGTTATTTAGTTACAGTAACTTGTCTGATAGCTAAAAATACATTGTAAATCATGTCGACATAGATGAGTCTATTTGCAAGTACAATCATACCCTCCAAGGTCGCTAGCACTTTAAATTAGAATAGGAAGAATTAGGATATTTCTTACTCTGAGAATTTAACTGAAATGTTAAGTTAGACAAATAGGCTTTTAAATGATTCTGAAATTAAATCTCTGATTGTAAATGGGATACGTTTAGAGAAAGTTAACATGACATTGTCTGAGACAGCTTATCATTTTGAGTTTTTTTTCTTGATTCAACTTACCGAATGAGTTGTTCTTAATAAGATATGTTCCCTGGGTTGTGTGAGAGATGCAAGAGCCACAATTTGATTTTGGCACAATTCCCTTGTTTACATGTGTCCTTTCCAACTTAGTTACAAGGCTTGAGTTAAATTGATATACAATGGATTAATGCCTAAATGATATTTGTGAATATTACTTCTGTTTATTTGAACAAATGCCACCAAGGTTGTTCACTTGTAAACCACAGACGGAATCTGTTGTAATATTTAAGTTGAATGTAATTGGTTACAAGAGACATGTATATTACTACTTGTTTAGAAGCCAGGCAGCCAATTTCTTCATGCCATTATTTTCCTATTTAAATTGTCTGACTGGAAAGTGACAGTGTTGTAAAAGTAAGAGAATTGATATGTAGTGTTGTAGTGGCATGAAGAGGATTATCATCTGGACTATGTAAGAATTATAAATTTAAAGTTGTCACTTTTTTCTTATTAACTAGTAAGTACTGTATTAAAATTAGCTTAGTTTATTGTGTTTGTGTGGAGTGTTCTATTGTAGGCGTTATTGTTCTTACATCAAGGTCGCCATCAGTCTAAATAACAGTATTTATGTTAAATAATACAGTAAGTTTGACGGTGACATTTATGGTAATAATTGTTAAAATAGCAGCATATTATTTAATACTACTACGTTATTTTTAAGGATACTGATAAGGTCAAGTATTGTAATTGTTTGTAATATATCAGTGCACTTATTGGGGAGACATTTTGATCCATGTGCACTCCTCCAGCACCTAATGTTTTACATGAATAATACTATGGGTAGGCTCAAATGATTTAACACAGTAATAACGGGCATATTTTCATTACAAATCTCATCTGTGAACATCATACTACATATTCTGACTCTGTTCTGTCCTTCTTCCTGACTTTGTTTGACTTATTGTACTTTTTTGAAAACTCAAAGCTTTATTCAGTTCAATGGTGCTTAACAATCTATCTTGACTTGATTCAGTGTTTCTGTTTTATCTTGCTTTGTCTTGGTCAGTGTATCTATACCATGTAGCCCTGTCTTGGTCAGTGTATCTATGCCATGTAGCTCTATTTTGATCAGAGTATCTATGCCATGTAGCTCTGTCTTGATCAGCGTATCTATGCCATGTAGCCCTGTCTTTGTCAGTGTATCTATGCCATGTAGCCCTGTCTTTGTCAGTGTATCTATGCCATGTAGCTCTATCTTGATCAGCGTATCTATGCCATGTAGCTCTGTCTTGATCAGCGTATCTGTACCATGTAGCTCTATTATCTTGATCAGTGTATCTATACCATGTAGCTCTATCTTGCTTAGTGTATCTATGCCATGTAGCTCTGTCTTGATCAGCGTATCTATACCATGTAGCTCTATCTTGCTCAGTGTATCTATGCCATGTAGCTCTATCTTGATGAGTGTATCGATGCATGTAGCTATATCTTGGTCAGCGTATCTATGCCATGTAGCTCTGTCATGGTCAGTGTATATATGTTATGTAGTTCCGTCATAGTTAGCGTATCTATGTGATGTAGTTCTGCCATGGCCAGTTTATCTATGTCATGTGGTTTCGTCTTGGTCAGCGTATCCATGCCATCTAGTCCTGTCTTGAATTGCCTCCTTGATCAATGTATCTATATAATGTAGTTCTGTCATGGTCAGTGTATCTATGTTAAGTAGCTCCTATATTGGTCAGTGTTTCCATGTCACGTAGCTCTCTCATGGTTGGTGTATTTGTGTCTTGTAGTTTTTTCGTGGCTGCTTTATCTTTGTCATAAAAATCTGTTTTGGTCAGTGTATTTAAGTCCTGTATCTTAGTAGGCCTATCCATATTTTGGTTAGTCTCAATTTTCTATTACAAACTGTTTATAGTTTCTGTCGTGCGGTTTACGGTGAACAATCTTAGAACATTCTGCATATTTCTGTACTCTATCAGACAGACACATTAACTTTCTGAGTTGACAATCTCTGTGTTTTTCTTGCATATTTGGAATTATTCAGTGGTATTTACATTGTTATTATATAATAATAGATATATTATCAGGCATACGACATAATTGGTGGCTTATTAAATTTTAGTTGAAATTTTATCACATTCCAATACATATTTGTCTGCCATTTTAGAAGATAAAGTTGGACTGATCTATTTATTTAATGCATGGAATTGTTACCATGATCTCAAAATCTAGTAGGCCCCAGTATGGACACAGTGTACGAGGCGAACGATCCAATGATTACACAAGCTTTAATTTCAAGCAGTGCTAAAATTTTGATCGAAAAATTTGCAGCCCTTACTCGGCTTCCTCGAAAAGCCATATAGTTCAAATGATAGATGTAGATAGAGGCAATCTAAATTTCTATATTTTTACGTGTGACAGTATGGTTAATTCAATAGTTTATTTATCAGTATATAGGAAGTATAAAACTGTATTACATGCCCAATAAGCTAAATTTTTGTCTGTGTACTTCTGAAGAATAACTCGTAAGGCTAGGTGAAAGCAAGCCGGGATTTGTAATCCCCGAATACACGGCGCCCGGGTTTCAGTTCGTGACTAGACCAAGATATATCCGTTTAGTGAAGATGTGATGAACCAAATAGACCTGGTGCGACAAAGTAGTGCATACATACATCGATTGTGCTGGTAAAAGTTCTATCCATACTCGAGTTCGGACCTGAACCATGTTTATTCTGGACATTAATGCTGTAACTACATTATTGCACGATTCCACATCTGCACTTCGAATATATCATAATATTGTCCTATTGAGAATTCTGATGGTAGCTAATGGTAGGAAAATAACCTCAGGGACACAATTGGCCACCAGCTGCACTATCGATAAGTTGTTGAGAAATAAAAACAAATAAATCCAATTAGCTATAGGAGTTGAAGCCGAAGTTTGATAAGGGAGAATAGAATAACACTAGATACCATAACAGTATGTGACAAACGCCAGATACTTGATACCAACCATTTATATTCTGGATTCTATCTAGTACATTATAATACATGTAAATAAGGACAATTGAATATAATAATGGATTGGGTAAAGGTCATTTGACATCAGAATAAGATGAATTGAATAGAAAATCGGGCTGCTGTGTTATAGAAGGTAAATGTCAATGTAGTAAAAGTGTGGGTGGCCAATTGAGATTTAATTTAACAGATAGCCTAATGACATACCTATTTTAATAATTGTCTGATTTCAACTTTTTTTGGTCTTATTTATGGAGGGATTTTGCAATAGTATTGAAGTTCTGCAAAGGTATAATATGTTATTCTAAAAGAAATACAAGCCTGACTTATAAAATAAAGAGGGTAGGCGAAAGCCAATCCTGTAACAATGTATAATGATGTAAGATATATAAGTATTAATAATTAATTAAGATAAATTACATTAGTATTGTAATTAATATAACGATAGAGATCTATACAATGACTAGTTGATGTAATGAAGCAAGTCATGTGAATTGTGATTTGGTCGTAGTTCCTGTTTAGGTTTTGTTTGAGTATAAACTAAATCGTTTTAATAATGAAATTGATCTTGTAACTATGATTGCTTATTATAAAAACTAAATCCATTTTACGAAACTCACATTTGTTGGATTCTGGTTTGATCTTGGGGGAGGAGAAATATGGCAATATACTATTTATGTATATCTCAACATTTTTCTATTATTTCCTTGGTCAAAACATTAGCCGTGATTATAATGTGGTTCAAATTTATTCCATATCTCGTTTTTCGATATATAATATTAAACTTTAAAATACACAATCTGAGATACGTCTGAGGATTATATTTGCAACAATGGTCATGACACCGAGGGTTAACAAATTGTATTTAGAATGAAATCGGGCATGAGATGTCTATCTAATTGTTCACAGATATGTTCAATTCAGAATCATGATACCATTCTTTATATTAGTTTTTTCTCTTCTAAAATTTCCACTTCCTTACTTCCATCTGTTATCAATCTACTACTATCTTATAATGACAAACAATTCAATTATACTCGACCAACAGGAAATATTTTATTTTTATCTGTATATCATGTCTTAGTTGACTATTACGCCTCATAAAATTCAACTTAAATATAATTTAAGCTAAATGGGCGCGAAGTCAAAATGGTGTTTGCGATGGTTACGTCAGATCTGGTTATATGTTATATATATTCAGATATAGAATAGACGGGGGATTGGAATGATGCTTGAAGAAGTCACAAGAGCACTTAATACATCTTGTGTATCCCATTTAGTGCAAATAGTTAATTCTATATAGTCTTTTGGGTTTAGAATTGTCAATAAGTGGACTATATAGTTGAAGTTAAAACTGTGAAATAAATGGTTATTTCTGGAGGCAATAAAGAGTCAATGGAAAAGTTGGCACGGGTATAAACCAGTAGGTGGCATTGATTAGAATGTGTCGAGTATAATAATCAATGTATCAGATAGTAATGATACTGCATCAATGAATTCAATCAAAGTATCTATTGATATAAAATAATGATATTATATAAATAATAGCTATTAATATTATCACTATGATGAATACATAATCCACTTCCATCTAGTCACAGCTATTTTAGAAGAGTGAATGGAAATACATGCTTGGCTTAGTGTAATGATATATTTCATTTTTATCCACAAAGGTACTAAATCATTAACATTGTATATCATATTCATTTCAAAACGTGATCTAACTGAACATTTGAAAGACCTAGAACAAGAGATGCGTAATTTCGTCAGATAATGGATATCAAGGGTAGTTTCCCGCCGAAATCATATAAATGAGATTGTCGTACTCATGAGTACAAAATTTTGACGAAGTAATGATAATATCTTCAGCTGTCGCATAAATCCAAGCTCAATAAATGTAAACCATAGTTACTTATATATACCTACATTCACTTAAGATTGGAATCAAGTGACTAAAGGAATTTTGGAAGCTTAACGATGCTCAAGACGTCATATCCTTTTTGTAATGTATCCTGAGCATGGTATTTCCCTTTGTTGAACTTAAGATAGTCCCATTAGACTAATACTTTCAAGAATGGAAACAGTTTAAATCTGTGAAATGATATTGTGAAATAACAAAATAAGAGATTGTCAAGAAGACTAGATATTGTCTGTCCATTCAATACTTTAATCACTTTTTATGGATTCATAGCGGAAATTACACGATGTTAATCTAAATTCATCATACAAGCAGGTGATATTAGAATTCCATTCATTGTTATTCCTACATGGAACATGAAACGACCTTTCTCATTAAGTAGAAGAAACAATTAGACATGTTCTGTGAGTCGTGTCTCTGCAGGAATCGCCCACAATCTCATGAAAGGTTTTCAGGAATGAAGAGGCGACTAAACATAAATCATAGAGGCTTGCCTATTATAATCCATTGTAATTTAATATGGCTTTGTCTAAGTGCCATAGCTAATAGTAGAATATGATGGATGTAGACTTATGTTAGACACTATCTAATGGTAGATGTATGTTACTTGTCTAGTAAATTTTATCAAAAATCAATATATTACAGTTCTAGATTCTTGTCTGTAAAGAAGACATTCAAATTTTTTGGAATAATAAATGTTATTAGAGGGTTGAATGGTTCCAGAAAATGTTAAACTGTTGATCAATTTGTTGTACTGTAAAAGTAAACGCCGAATAGATCTTTTAAAAAAATTTTAAATTCAAACCTCGAAATTCTCAATATCACAAAAAGCTAGGGTTACGTTTCTAGAGAATATATGCAATGTATTTACAGTCTTAAGATATATAAAGTTATGTACTTTCAGATAAGTTGGAACATGTTAAGGTTCATGGTTGTATTTGCGTGTATATATATATATATATATATACTACATGTAACTGTTTAAGGTCAATTTCTTATAACAGAGTTTGGACCTGAAAATGGCAATCAATCTGGAGCAATAATCACTACAAAAAGATTTCTATAATGACTTACTAATGCATAAATCTATTCTTTTATATTTTTCAGGTAATGCGTTCAGAAACTACTAATATGTCATCTAATGGTTTAGGTATCGGGTTTAATAATGGCGATAATGGAGAAATGACCATGTGGAATTTAGCAGGCTTAGAAACACCAGACTTTAACTCCAGAAAGCGAGGAGTAAAAAGAGACAATCCAAGTTCCCCGTCAGATTCTGGTAGTTCTACAAATGATACAATCGAAGACCCAAGTGAAAAGAAACCGCGCAACAGTAAAAAATCAGTTCGGCGGAGAAAAACTAGTGCTCGTGAAAGAAACATGCGACGACTTGAAAGTAATGAGCGAGAGAGAATGAGAATGCATTCGTTAAATGACGCTTTTCAAGGGCTTCGTGAAGTTATACCACATGTTAACTTAGAAAGAAAACTGTCCAAAATAGAAACCTTAGCATTAGCCAAAAATTACATCAAGGCATTAACAAACGTCGTATGTGAAATGCGGGGTGAATTTTCTCCATATAAATTCCAAGCTCCTGATCCGGAAAGTAAATCAGAAGAAGAAATAAAAAATACTACTGATATTAATGGAAATGAAAATATAGACTCAAATATTGACACAACCTCCTCTCAATTAGTTACCCTTCCACATGATTTTAATGAATTAGCTGGTGATGATGAACTTTCTATTGATCAGATAGAACCCATGCAAGCTTCGGAGTTTTTACAGGATACAAGTTTATATTAGGAAATCATAGTCAAATGTTGAATGGTCCCGTCTTTTAATTGTGCTTCGCATTTCGCAAAAAGATTGTGAACAATATTAAACCTAAACGTTATGTGTCATTATTATATTCTAATCATTCCGTGGTTGTTATTGTTGGGGCCAGATTATAATCATATAAACACAAACCATGGACCTACCAATTCTCTTCCTATTTCTCTTGACTGTGATTTTGTAATGAAAGAAATAAGGTGATGTTATGTTTTTGCTTGTACAAGTTCTAGAATATTTGAAACTATAGAAACTTATTGGTGATATGAAACTAGTGTTTGGAGAGCGAGAGAGAGCGAGAGATAAACTATGGAATAATAGATGTTTATAAGTGATTATAAGTGCTTTGATTGGGGAAATTGGTTATCATGTTTAAATGTTTTCATTCTTCATTATTCTATTTTCAATCACTTTATATTCATTCATGGCAACATCATTCAAATTATTTTTGTAAAAGAGATCTATTCACATGAATACGCCATGCAATTCAATAACAATTTATTTTTTTGCCCTGTATATTTGCTTCATGTATAAATGGACGGTATAAGATACAATGTATATCCTATTTTCAAAAAATATAAATTATTTATTTTCAAAATTTATTCATTTAACTTGTTGATTATGTACTATATACATATATAATATATTATTTTATGATCTATCTATTTCACGCTATTATATATAATCATATGAGGTTTATCATGCATGATCGGTTAGGGTTGGAATACTATCTCAACTTTGGTTATGGAACTAGCATCATATGTATATAGATATTTCTATTATTCTGTTAAGTTGTTTTAATTTGTGATATAATGAAAAGATCGATACAGCCAGTGTTAGATGATATTATTGTCATAGATGTCAAATCCAGGTCATTAAAACACCCCAATGAACTTTCATTTAATCGTTCAAGCGTCTTCAAGCTCAATTGCATAAGTAAACAAATATTTTCTAACAAATCACTTGCATCTTTTCATCGCTACCAAGCCAAACTCTTCACTTTCGACTTCAACGCATGCAAGAATATGGCACAATCGAAGACTTCCCAAGTAACTTTAGTGTTATTTCATTAAAGGTTCTGGAAATAGCCTTAAAGCAGAAGTATCTGCAATTCATTGACTTACTTTTATTATTTGTATTTGTCATGGTATTCGATGAAACATGTATCATTAAGTCCAGGTCACTAAGAAACTCATCCAAATTAAGTTTGAGATTATATTAAAACATAGAACTAGAAATAGTTGAAATATTTCTCTCTTTGGACATATGTAACAAAAATCTATAAAATTTTCCAATTGATAATTTAGTTCCAGTTTGCTATTACTTTCATCTGTTCTAGATGATAAGTCTTTGTAGCATTGATTAATGTTTCACATTTTACTCTTTTTTTATAGTTACATGTCGTTTGAAATCTGTTGACAAACCAAACCTAGGTTGCCTTGCCCCGTATAACTATTTCTGATTACTGGATTGGATTCTTTCAAAGGCCAGCAATTTGTTTTAAAATCAAAAGTAAAAGGCGAGGTCTGTCATATAATTAAATGAAGTAATTGTATAGTGAAACTATACTAGTTGTACAATTATTCACGTCACCTTTCACAACTGTCAACTCAAGTTATCATTATCTCCCAATTAAATAAGATCTTTTTTCATTGATCAATTATACATAATTATTGATATATACCGAGCTTGAGATATCTACTGAAATATTTGTCATATTCTAGTATATAATTGTTCCCTTTGAGACAAAACATTAAAGCAATGCAACATAAATCTCAATCCTTTTGTACAAAACTCAACAAAATTTTTCAGAATTTACACCATTTCCTCATGCAAATTTGTGCTATTACGCACCCTTTCCTAGTGAATATATCATCTATCTCGATTGCCAGAATACCATTTTTTATTCCCCAAGATTATACACTTGTTTCAATTCTTGAGAACTTCACAATTTGACGTGTATAAATGCTCTACCCAGCCTAGGTCATATGAATCACGAAAAGTTGAATGATGGCCAATTTGATGGAATTTAGTTTCCTTTAATTATATATCTTAAATGAAATTGATGTGATATTCAGTACGATTCTGACATTTTTATGGCCTCCAAGTCTGTGTTCGTGAAAAATTGTAGGCTGGTAGAGAATCAGTGATGAGAATTGGTGAGAATGTCAGACATGGTTACAATGTATTTAGAATAATAATGAAGATCTTTTCATTATATCAATATTTAATAAATATTTGAACACTTATATTGTCTAAAATCTACTTTTATTGTTATTTTTGTGGAGTAGATTATATAGTCTATTTATTTCCTTATATTAGCATAATGTAGACTTATTTAGAATATTTGGTTCATCATCATTGTTATTCATACGCTCGGTGCTCTCAATAATCATTTTATTTTATTCCCATTTATCATCATTCATCATTATATTGCAATTTTCGAGCATAGTTTCTCATTATGTTCTAACCTGAACCATTAATCTTCATTTCCCTCCCGCATAGCAATTCTTCAAGCTGATAAGCACAGTTTAATCGATACAATATAGAATTCCAATATCTTTACATTTGAAACAAACAATTGTAGTTTGGAAGTATTTCTGAAATTGATCTTAAGGTGCCCTCACACCATAGCAATGAACAGTTGCGTATGGTTGCGAATAATGGTCATTCGTAACCATACACAACTAGTGATTGCTAAGGTGTGAGGGCCCCTTTATTAAAAAGGTATAGGAAAGCAGTAGGATGTGTTATATAAATGGCTATCTTATTTTCAATTGTGATATAAATGTATTAAATCTCCGTTACTCCGTAACATGGAACTTAAATCACTTCGAAAACCGAATATTTACTTCATAGGTAAGGATCAAAGGCGTATCGTAAGGGGCGGTAATTGGTTACCATTAAAAAGTATGGTATAGTTAAGGGCCATCCGCTACTTATAGGACACTTTAATCCAATTAACGTAACTTTCAATAAACCATATTTTCTCATCCGAGCTCTTCAATTTGAACAAAAACGCTCGTTTCTCTCATTTGTAACAATGTTTTGTTGAACGAATTTGTTGGTTTGACAATTTCCAGAGATAGTTGTTTGTATTACATGTTGAAGATCATTCAGAATTGAAATTAAGTTACCCAAGAAAGTGAAATAAAAATTATTTGATTTGTTTAGTTACAATGTATCATTCAACAACTAAAATCGCCTGAAATATCAAAAACATGCAATAAAACTAAGTTTATTCTTTATCCTCGGCTACACCTATTATGAAAATCTTTAGCCATTCGTCAAGATGGATATCATTAAATATATTCTTGTACATCTTAACTTACAGATAATCGTAAATGGATTGCTTACGGTCAGTCTTATTGCTATAGTAACCATGGTAAATAATTAAACTAAAAGAGTCTAAGTTATGATGTCACTGACTAACAGATTGTAATATTTAAGCAAGAGATGATTATTATATCTAAAATTGTGATTATTCAACAATTTTTATGAATTGTATATTAAGCAGAATTAAAGTGTACACAGCTTGTAAACTAAATGGCAGCCTTATATCTACCTGATTCAATAAAACACTTGTTATTTAAATATACTTTATCATATATGTCAAAATATAGTTTTTTTCCTCAATATTATCATCATTATCGATTAAAGTATGAATATATTATTAAAATCTGAGCTTTTTTTCTTCTTATTTCATTATATAGCTTATGACGTCATACTAACGTGACTAAACGACTATTTGATTAGAGTGAGAAACATAAGAAATTGTCACAAGAGAAATACGATATGAATTAATGAAATCAGGTGGAATTTTCTCAACGTTATATGGATTTTTAGTTATGTGAGAGAGTAGGCTTTTGAAGAAGGTCAGAAGATACAGCCTTCAGAAAGAATGCAATTCCTATTATGTAGTACTCTAGAATTTGACACCTCAGTTTAATGATGAACGCAAATTAAAGAACCATATCATAATAGAACTGTGATCTTTCGTAATGTCAATGCAACCCGCTGGATCATTAGGTAGACAATCTCTGACATTTCAACTCTCACTAGAGACTAGAATCAGTTCTTGGTTATGAACAATGCGAGTTTATGCTTCATATTTACGGTATTTTCAAAGACTTTTTTCATTAACAAATTTGCAGCTAGTTAACCGAGACTTGAAATGGACAGAATGTTACAGTTTGATAAATATAAACAACATCGAACATTCCAGGGTGTTTTTCATAAAAAAAAAAACATCAGATGACAACCATTTACGGACAACAAATAATTACAGGACATCCAGAGTTGCACCACAACAAATAATAAAGGGGTGTAGTCATTAGGCAATTTAAACTGTCCATTGATTTTCGTTATTTTTAAACCCAAAGAAAAACTTTCAGACACAACAAAAACAACTGAAAATTTGACGCATAAGGCTGCAATTATGGAATAATACTACTTAATATTTACAAATACAAACTTAAAACCACTTATCTACAAATACCAACACAATATCACTAAACAAAAAATACAAACATGATATCACTAAATCACAAATGCAAACATAATATTACTTAACCACAAATACAAACATTATATCACTAAACCACAATACAAACATGATATTACAAAACCACAAATACAAACATAATATCACTAAACCACAATACAAATATGATATTACAAAACCACAAATACAAACATAATATTACAAAACCACAAATACAAACATAATATCACTAAACCACAATACAAACATGATATTACAAAACCACAAATACAAACTTAATATCACTAAACCACAATACAAACATGATATTACTAAACTATAAATGCAAACA